ATTGCAAGAATTGTTGCTCAAAATTTGATTCCTAAGACCGGCAGTTTTGATCACTTTGCTTCTGATAAGATTAATGCTGTTTATGCCATTTTTGCCAAAATTAAAGTAGATTGGGCAACTGTCTTTGTCAATAACATGGCATCAAAGCATACCAAGTTTCTACCTTTTGGCTCCTTTCTCACTCTCATCTTTCAACACTTCAATGTTGACCTTACAAATGAACCCAAAATTGAATCTAAGAGAGATTTCTTTGATAAGGTTTCTCTTTCTAGAATGCAGATGGCCATTGATTCCACTCCTTCATCATCCTCTCGCTCCCGTTCTAGAGCCTCTACCTCATCCTCTTCTGATATTTGTGACCGTCTGGACCGTCTTGAGACTCAGTTCTCAAACGTTCAGAAGCAGGTCTCAACTATTCAAAGGGATGTTAGGACAATTCTTTCATATCAGTGTGTGTCTCTAGGGATTCCAGATCCCTCTTCTAGTTCTGAGTCTGATTCTGGTGAGGACCATGCAGATGGCTCAGGCTCTTCTGATGATGGTGGTGATGATGATGGGGGTGATGATGATGATAGTGGAGGTGATGACTGATTTGAGTTTCTTTATGTGATGATCATATTTGTTTTGATGTTCTATTCTGGGTTGTAAAACTTGATAACTCTGTTTTATTTGAGTATAATAACTCTATGATGCTTTGTGGAACAAACTATGTATGGTTTTATGTGACTTTTTATGTATGATTTTGATGCGGCATAATTATGTACCAAAATTGCAAGTGCACAATTTATCAAGTTATAGTATAAAAAATATCGATCCCACGAGGAAGGTGATTTTAAGAGATTATTAGAAATGATTCTTATGTTTTGTGCATGACAATTAGGAATAAAGAATAAGTGTGATTTTGTTGAGTGATTGTTTTAGGAATAAAGAATAAGTGTGATTGTATGAGTGGTTGTTTTGATTTATATGCAAGAGGTAATGAATTGAATTTTAGAAGAGAGAAGGAAGAATTAAAGAATAAATGAAATCACAAGGCAAGAAATATGAATTAATAAAATCAAGAAATAAAACCAAAAATGAAAAGAAATTTTAAGAAAGTTAAGATGAAGGATTCAAAAGATGTAAGAACTTCAGAATATAATCCATTAGCCAATTTCAATTACAAAATATAAACTATTCTCTTTTTATCATATTTCAACTTAGATTTATTAAGCATAGATTATCAAACCATTTAAGGAAAGTGTAACCTATCAAATTATCATCTAAGTCAAAATTACTATTCATGATAAGAACAACAACATGATAATAATCCTAGAATTCATAAGCATAACCTATCAAACCATTTAAGATAAGCATAGATTATCAAATTCTTCTTCTACCGATTAGTTCTCTAGTTGATTATCCTAACATGAACATTTTAAGTACAAGAGAATAATTCATACAATATAAAAGAAATTAGACTAGTTTCATACAATTCTAAGATTCCTACAAGAATTAAATTCACATCTTAAGAAATAAAAACAAGAAAAAGAAGACTAATTACAAAATTAAAAAGAAAAGAAAAATCTAAACTATGAACAAGAAATAAATCTAATTACAAAGAAAATAAAAATCTAAACTACAAAATAAATTGCAGAAATTAAATGCAAGAAAAATAAATCTACTCTACAAATTAAAGTGCAAAAAGAAAATAAAAAAGACAAGAAAGTAAATCTATACTACAAGCATGAATTTAAATCTAACTAATAAGCAATAATAAAGAAATTACTAAAAAGAAATAAAAGAGAAAAGAAATGCAAACCTTCAAATTGCTCTTCATCTCCATCCTCATCATTCCACAAAGAGGAGAAAGAACAAATTTAAAGAGGAAAAAATTATTTTTATTAATTGCAACTAAAGTTATAATTTTTGGAAGGCCTTCTCAATTAAGAGTAGCCCTCCTCTCCAAAAGGAGTTTACAAAATTTTCACACCTCTAACCCCTCACTCTCTACCCCTATTTATAGTAAACATCAGTGAATGAGAGCCATCAGATCGAAATCTTATCCAAAAACATTAATTTTCAGCCATTAATTCGTAACAAACTGCTCAGTGTATCGATACCAGCATCGATAGGGGTATCGATGCGGGCATCGATACAGGCATCGATGCGGGCATCGATGCCCCCATCGATGCAGGCATCGATACAGGCATCGATACCCGCATCGATGCCCCCATCGATGCAGGCATCGATACAGGCATCGATACCCGCATCTTGGGCTTGGGCTTTGATTTATTTCTTCATTAAATACTTGAAAGAATTCATTGGGCTTCATGGCTTTATTTCTTCATTAAATCCACGGGTTTTAGTTGAGAGATGGGAGTTTTGAGATTTATTCTTCATTAACCTGCAATTAAAGATAGAAACAATTATTAGTAGTATATTTATTCATATAAAATAGATAATGAGGGTATAGAATTGTAATAAAATATGATTATCAAATACCCCCATACCTAAACTCTTGCTAGTCCTCTAGCAAAGAAAGAAAAAGAAAATCCTAACTCACTTTCGCAGGAATCGCGGTTGTATTTAGCGCATACAATAAGCCTTTAAACCCCTAGGTTACCCTAGTGGACGAGTTGTAGTCTCGTGAGGGTTTGCAGTGAATATACCCACAAAATTCGATCAACTTGCCAAGTTAAATAAGTCAGTAAATAACAGATTTTCCTTGATATACTTAAACGTTCTAATTGAAGCTAGTTAATAATCAAGAAAACGTTTTTATATATAACTCCAATGTAAATCCCCTAGAAATTCTTTTTCATTATAGCAATACAAAACCAAGTCAAATCTTAGAAATTTAATTAAAAAGTTTTGAAAAGAACATGACAACTCTTTGTTTTAAATAACTTTCAAGTCTCTTGATCAAAAATTGTTTTTCAAGATCATATATACAAAACAACAATATATAAAATATTATGAGATGAGGGAGGCCTTTGACCTCCCCCTCATTATCCCTCTATTCATACCCCATTATGGTGGTGTAACACCCCACTAAGTGGGGGTGACTCTTAGGTACTCAACCTATTCACATTGACTAGTATAAATATATATCATAGGCATTTGGCCTATGTATGGGTTTCCTGAAGTGCCTTACCTCAGTGCCATTGGAGCACTATTATATCTGGCTAACTGTACGCGTCCCGATATAGCGTTTTTAGTTAACCTACTAGCCAGATACAGTGCAGCGCCCACAAAGCGCCACTGGAATGGAGTTAAGCATCTTCTGCGCTACCTCCAAGGGTCTATAGACCTGGGATTATATTTCCCGAAGGGTGGGTCTCCCACCTTAATTGGTTATTCAGATGCAGGTTACAGGTCTGATCCCCACACCGAGAAATCACAAACCGGATTTGTGTTTACATTCGGTGGTACGGCCATCTCCTGGAGGTCTGTCAAGCAAACCACTGTAGCAATCTCATCCAACCATTCCGAACTCCTCGCGATCCATGAAACCAGCAAAGAATGTGTTTGGCTTCGTTCTGTCATTCAGCACATCTTAGTGTCTACCGGCCTGAAGACTGGTGACCTTGAGCCAACTACTATATTTGAAGACAATGCAGCCTGCGTTGCTCAACTTCAGTCTGGCTTCATCAAGGGTGACAAGACGAATCACATATCTCCCAAGTTTTTCTGGACGCACGATCTTCAAGAGGAGGAGCAAGTTAAAGTACAGCAGATCCAATCATGTAATAATTTATCTGACTTGTTCACTAAGGCTCTGCCTAGATGTACTTTTGTAAAACTTGTAAAAGGAATAGGGATGAGACATCTGAAAGACCTACAAGCCTGAAGCTTGTATGGTTCAGGGGGAGTAACCTATGGGTTGTACTCTTTTTCCTTAGGCTGATGGTTTTTTCCCACTGGGTTTTCCACAGCTAAGGTTTTAACGAGGCAAACAAGTTTACTCTGGATCCAGAAGTATCCACCCCATTAGCTTTACGAACTCTGAAGTGTTCATAAGCTAAACCCAAGGTAATGGATGGATAAGGGGGAGTATTATGAGATGAGGGAGGCCTTTGACCTCCCCCTCATTATCCCTCTATTCATACCCCATTATGGTGGTGTAACACCCCACTAAGTGGGGGTGACTCTTGGGTACTCAACCTATTCACATTGACTAGTATAAATATATATCATAGGCATTTGGCCTATGTATGTGTTTCAAACATAAAAACAATTGTTAGTGTTATATATATGTATATTTTTTCTACTCTCTAATTCTTGGTGATTGTTTTCTATTTTAACGGGCATTCTAAGTGACCATTTAACGAGTTTTGGGCCAATGAATCCCAACCCAATTGGGCTTAGGTCATTAAGTATAGAGATACTCCTTGGGCTTAATTGCTCAGTCAACTTAGGCTTTATAAGATAGAATCACCTTGAATTTAAGAGGTTTTTTTTTGTGGTGCCCATTTTTCGCACTCTTCTTTTATAAGGTTAGTTTTTTTTAATATATATATGTGTAAGTATATATAGTCTTTTAAAAAAAATTGTGTAAATTAAGATAACTTGAAAAAATATTTTCAACTCTAAGTTGAACATGCAAAAATTTCATTATTTTTAATTAAAAATCTAAGGTAAGACTTAAGTAAAGTATACTAGTTGAAAAATCATTTCTTAAGAATTTTATTTGGAGTTATCATAAAAGATGAACTTGAATATGTCACTAACTAAGAATTAGAAAATTTAAAATCTATCAATTTGATCAATTATTACTTAACTCTATTAATTTGGCAAGTGATTTTTTTTACTAACAAAAGATAAATGCTGAGAGAGAGAGAGAAAAAAAAATATATACTAAAACAAAATACTAACTAACAAAACAAAAGCTTAACTAGCTTACACCCCCATACCCAGACTTTGCAATGTCCTCAATGCACATAATATCCAAAATATCACAGTTTAATAAGTACATGCCAAAAAAAATCAAAGACTGGGTAAAGTAGAAATAACATCCCTCACTGCTCATCTCCTGATATATCGTCATCCACATCATCAGCGGCAGCTGCTGAACTCGGTCCCGCCTCATCCTCTCCTGGGAAATCAGCTGGCTGAAATGGTGTGATATAACCATGAAGCTCAGGTGGAGGTCCACTGTATCTCCATGTTCTCTCTGTCATCCTCTCGCCAAATATACCAGGGTATCGGTAGAGTAGCTAATCTGACCATGCATCTCGTGTATATCCCGCTGCATCCTGTGTATCTGTATCTGCATTCTGTCCATGCGACTCCGCATCGTATCCATCTCCTCTCGAGTGGGGTCATGTGTAGCTGGCTGGTGCTGAGGAGGCTCTCTACCTGAAGGACCGGACTGATCTCGCCCTGAAATGCTCCTCCTCACAGTCTGATCATTTAGTAACCCCTTCCCTGCTTCTAACCTATCCTCTGCGAATACTGGAACATGAAATCTATGGCAGAGTCTAGTGATGAAATAGGGGTAAATGAGCTGAGTACGTGATGCAGACTGTGTCCTGACCCAATCTAACACATTCTCCACTGATGAGCGCATCCATATAAATATAATCCTCGCTATATCAAATCGCTGACCAGTGGCTATCCAAAAGAGAAGGAGAATATCGTGTGGGGTAATGACGGAGTATGCAGTGGTGGGTTTCAAATCAAAGTTCAGGAAAAGATTAAGTAATCTATATTCTGGTTTGAGATTTCCTGAACCGAAACTAGATGTAAAGACCCTCCCACACAAGGTTGCAGACATGTTGTTGTATTCTGGTGTACCAGGCTGTAAAGTGGAGGCTAAATGGAAGTAATCTGGTACATCAGTGGGTGGCTCTGCAAGGTCAAGGGTAGCACGGATAGTGGAAAGATCGAAAATAACCCTAACACCCCTCACGATAGAAAAAGCTGAATATTCTCTATCTGGATCAATCTCCCATCCAGAATAGAACTCATGCACTAATGAAATGTTGGCTTTTTCTAAGGGTTTAGTCATCATGCTCCTAAGACCTACTGCAGATAACATGGTGACTGTGGAATGATATGTATGCAGTGCACTCATCTGAAATCCCCTCTCAAAATGAATGTTAAGACCCACAATTCTAGCTAAAATAGTAGGTCTATCTATGTCGGTATCAGATGGATCAGATGATGATGAACTTGCTCGAGATTTCTTTCTGGGAGGCATCTACAGAAAAAGAAAAGAAAAGAAAAAGGAAAAAAAAATTAAAAATAATAATTTTCTTTTTTTTTAATTATTATTTAGCTACAAATTGTTCAACATGAGTTAATTTCAAGTTATCAGAATTGACAATAAATTCCCTCAAAATTATTCTTTGAGAACAAAAAAAAATGTTAAAATTTTTGATAACTTGATCGGTGAAACATACATGTTGAAATGACAATTATAAGCTAAACCGTGCACTTGTTGAATAAAATATCCGGTACAAATTTCCGAATGTGAGAAGTATCCAATTAGACTTTTATTTGACCAATTACTCACATTTGCACAAAACACCCCAAATTCAAATTTATTTTTGCAAAAAACCCCCCCTAATTTTTTCGGATTTGCATAAAACACCCAATTTTTTTTTCAATTAGATCATATTCTCAATTTGAAATCACTTACCCAATTGAATGTTCAAAAATTATGCGTTTTTGCACAAATAAACTTGAATCTGGCTTCCTGACTTCGGGCAGCTGCAGCTTGTTGTTCTTCCGAAATAACTAAAACAAGGTGTCCACATGCTCTTCTTTGAATGAATATTGCTTGGGCGCTTTTTGCTGATTTGGTGACTTGCCTTGCTTAGCAGGCGGTGGTGCTCTTGTGTTGGCTTCAACTGCCAAAGCCTCCTTTCCCTTAGACCGTA